CGCCGGGGGCAGGCAGAGGTGCGGGGCTGGGGCTGGGGCTGGGGCTGTGCCCGTCCCGCGGGGCCGGCTGCAGAGCTCTCGTCCCTGGCGCTCCCCCTACCACCGCTGCCCCGGCGCCAGGGGCGCTCGCGAGCCGGGGCTGGGCTGCGGGCTGCGCCCCGCGCCCCGGGCTGCTCCGCGAAAAACACCCTCGCGCCGGACCCTTTCTCCGCCTACTCTGCTCGGGTGCCCTGCGCCCCTGCCCTGCCCTGCCCTGCCCTGCCCCCCGGGGACAGGTGGGTCTGCTGCTGTCAGGAAGGAAGTTCCCGGCAGAAAAGCAGCGGCGCTTCACCCTCTGGGTCCCCCGAGTTAACTCCGGGGAGAGGAGCTGGTCACTTCATGCGGGTGCCCCCTCCTGTGAAAGAGCACGTACAGGATCCGCCCCCGCAGCGACCAAGGACGACTTAGGCTTGGGGGCTGGACAGCCCTGTTGCACCCTGCACAAGAAACAACCCAGAAAAGCACAGCCCAAAGGCAAGCCTGGGGTCGTTCTTTCATCATCGCTGTTCCAGCTCGGCCTTCCTCATTCCCTCTTCATCCGCAAACCCTGCAGTTGCTCGCTGCTGGGAGGAGGAGCAGCTTTCCAGTCTCTAACTGGTAGCCCAGTGAAGGATGTGACCATTTCAGCACGGTAGTGTGAAGCCTCTGTAACTTTTCAGTGAGTCTCGCTGCAGATTCTCCATGTTAAGGGAGCATATACACGAGGTGCGTCCAGTGCAGTAGACTAAATCTACTGCACATTAGCATGGCAGGCAAAACCTGTGCCAGTGCACTAATGTGCAGTAATTTTAGTCTACTGTGCATTAACGTCAGAACAAGACCGTTTCTGCTAATGTGCAGTAGTGCTGATTGCAGCACCATAAGTTAGTATCTGGCATTACAGGTACTAAACTTAATGCACTGTAATTGCGGGGCATTAATGAATGTGTAGATGTGCTCCTTGGGATTCTAAATGAATGGACCAAAATAATTTTGGTTTCATGGGAAAACAAAATGCCATGTCAAAAACTAACAAATCTCACTGAGTATTTGGTTCATGTAGGCAAGTGGGTATTGCCTGCAGCAGGGGAGGCTTGTGGGGAAAGATATCTCTGTGGAATCAATGTGTCCAGGGCTATTAGTGCCTCCACAAACAATACATTGAAAAGGACTCTGCAAGCCAGACAACTCTTATACCAGTGTTTTCCTTCGTTCGCATCTCAGAATTCAGATGTCAGGAAAGGAAAGAACTGTAAGTTAGAATAGAAGATACCGATAGGAATAAGTGCAGAAGAAATATCCAAGTCAGACTGGAGGCCAAAATGAGAAAGTGGTTCCTGTATTCTCTTTTGTTCAGTTATCTTCTTTCCAACCCTTCTGATTTTCCCAAACTTTTTATTTCTTCATTTTAGTCAATTTTTTTAGATCAACTATTTTCCCCTGACACATAAGCAATAGTAGTAACAATGTTCCACTATGCTCATGCTGTTCTACTTTTTCCATTGCCATATTATTCTGTGTGGGTTCAATTTAAACACCAGTTATTTTATGGGAAAACATCCACATAGCCAATCAGGATGCAAAAGAACAATAAGATAACTACTCAAAAAGAAAATTACTGCCTTGATCAGTACAATGATGATTTTCTGAATTCAAGAGTGACAGCATCATCCCTGCATCTTCCTCTCCTAACTCAGCCCTTCCTTATCATATGTTAAGTCCATTTTCCCCACAAATTTTCTGTCCTTCCAGTCCTATACCTCTACACTAGTGTTTTGGTGGATAAAAAATAAAACTCTCCCTTTCTGTTTCTTTTTTGTTCTCAACTTGTTTTAAAATTGTAGCTCTCCATAAGAAAGAATAATGGCTAGAGTTTAACAATATAAAATAAAACATGCTTCTTTGGGTTTCTTTCTCTTTATTTTTGGTTTTAAATTTGTTCTGGCTTTTCATACGGCTCCCAGCTGCTCTTTTATGACTGAGTTTGGCTTTCAGCACTGGGACTGTAGATCTCAGAACTCTGAGGGAGCTATAAATGGAGAAATATTAAGGGATCCTTAGGGATATTGAAAACCCCTAGGAAATAAAAATGGTTTATAATGTAACTAACACATCAAACAACAGTGATTTACATAGTGACAAACTCAGTCAACATTGTCATAGTTGTGCTATAATCTGGAAATTCAGCATGTATAAAATATATTTTCTTGATTTTCTTACATTCGGTCCCTGTAAGGATTAAGCACTGCACGGAGAAATATGGTCCAATGAGCTAAGGAGTTAAGCCCAATCCTATAGATTTAGCAGTATTCAGCTTGAAAGCAAATAAGTAGGTCCCACTAACATTCCTATTTGTAGGATCAAGGCCTAAATTAGAATTTCCTTTTGTTGTTGTTATATTGCCATTGCTGCTTATTTTTTTATAAGTTTGTGCATGTGTTTCTTTCTGAAAAATAAAAATAAAATAAATTATTTAATGTAAGAGCATGTACCACTGTCCAAGAAATCACCTAAATTCTGAGTGATGGATCTGCATCCCATCAGGAACCTGGATAGATATAGTATTTGGAATACATATTTTATGAGTTGCAGTAGATATTATTTATAAATTGGATTGCAGTTGTTTTTGTAGCAGGTAAATATGTATTTGTGCATGTTTTCACTTTTAAAGTACATATTTATTTGATACAGTGTAACAGCCAAAATATCATTGTGCAAATCCATACTTAAACACTTACTGAAACGGCATTGTTCAGTTTGACTTAAAGGTATATATGCACAATGCTGTATTGCATTCTATGAGAGAAAAAAGCTCCAAAATCATAAGACTTAACTTCTCAGTCTAGGCATGATCATAAATATTGAGAAAATGAACTCTCAAGTCTATAAAGACTTGATCATACAGAGTGTAGGTAAAAGTCAGGGAAGAGGACAGCTGATTCACCAAAAGGTGCCCAGAATGGTGATTTTCTGCTCATACTCTGATTATGAGAACTAAATTGTTGGAGGTAAATCCTGTGTGTGGTCTGGCAAGAACACGATGTCCAGGGTAGGTTAAGAAGGACTGAGTAACACATGGGATGTATCCTAATAGGAACTGCTTCTGGCCCTTCTTCTAAGAGGTCCTGGCCCTACAGACTTCAGAATGCTACTGAAAGATAAGTGAAGAGCTTAAGTGAGAGAGATTAGCATCTAATGCATAGATTTTACAATCTGGTATGTGGAAGTGTGCACAATACTCAACAAAAGGAACCATGCTTGTCACCAGCAATGCATGAATTAAATTGAAAGAGAAGGGACGGGGGCCTAACTAAAGTCACAGCCAAGGCATAGATGTTTAAATTCAACTCATTGCATGCAAATGATGTGCCTAGTGGCTATTTTTTAATTTTTCATATGCTCCTGCTATCTAGCAATAAAACCTCATTGAAGTGAATTCAAAAGCTGCCTTAAAAGTAACTGACAATATGGCATACCTGAGCAATTCTGCACCTTGCCTACTGATACAAAAGATTCCCAAGAAATATCATTTTTTACAATCAGCTGTTCAGTGCCATATGAAAGATGGTGAACCTAATGTTCTTGTTAGCCATCTGGACTATGCTATGCTTAGCAGTCCCACTGGTGATTCAATGCAATTTCTCACAATCCCTATATTTCCAGCTGTACCATCAAACACCTGTCTGGGATAGAAATAAGCAAATACAAAGACTGCCATCACACCCTTCATCTGTATGCACTGGATTGAATTTAAGCATCTATCTATGGTGTCACCCAAGGTCCATTGTATATCCACCTTGCCCTGACTGCATTCCCCCCATTCTACTGATGCTGGTATCAGTGAACTCAAAGTGTTTTCATACTGTTCAAGCAAGTGTGCACATTCCCCTTCAATGTGCAGACACTTTCCTGTGCAGATACTAAGCAAACACTAAGTGGTCTAGGACCAGCGCTTTGTATTTTTACATGTAAATCAGTGATTCAGCAGCTTGTATGACTGAGTCTTACGTGGGCAGAGATAGTAGGACTCCCTACTTACTACAAAACTGTTTCAAAATTTAAAATATTCTCTTTTCAGGTACACTTTTTTAGGCCCAGTCCTCTTTTAAAATGGGTAACAAAATGTGCAATAACTACAGCATTAGTCAACATAGCTCTGGGGCTCCAGGATCAGCTAGTATAACTATGCAGAAAGATAAAGGATAGGAAATTAGCTAAATTACCAATAAATAAATTATGCATGAGCAAAAGTCATCCTTGAAGACAAAGAAAAATTTGCATTTCTTGGACAGGGATCTGCAAAAATAGCTTTTGAAAAATGAATGTTTGATATATATAAGCATAAAATTATTTACAGATGTTTAAATCTTGGCTTTTTGTAGTTTAATTGCAGAGATAATGCAGAACTTCATTTTTACTTCATATTTTAGGTGAAGCCCATTCTTTTAGAAAGATGACAAAAATTTGGACATTATTTTAGTATAGGTACAAGCAATACTGGGCACCTCATTTTTTTTTCTCTTTCATTTCCCTCATTGTTTTTCTTTTCTTTTCCAACATCATCTAATATCCCTCTTTACCAGTTCTTTTCATTTTCACAGAGTACATTGCGCTTTTTCTCTCCCTTCAACTTCTTTGCCTATCCTTTTTTAAAGCTACTA